GTGTGTGTGTGTGTGTGTGTGTGTGTGTGTGTGTGTGTGTGTGTATACACGCACGCATGTGTGTGTGTGTGTGTGTGTGTGTGTGTGTGTGTGTGTGTGTGTACATACGGAGGTGATGCAGCAGGAAATAACCAGACAGGATGCCATTCGTCACCCGCGGCGGCCCCCACACCAGCAATACTGAGTCTTTCTGAGTGTTGGAAGTGGTCAGTATGGGCACTGACCCTGGAACTGTGAAATACAATACAACAACACATTCAACGTATGGGTAAGACACTTATAGCAACATCAACAAGGATTTTATTACCATGATCATCGTAATTCTAAATTATTATGATTACAACATTTGGAAATAATGCCACAAAAAGAGTCTAGAAAATAAAATCTCGGCTCTACCTCTGAAGTTCAGATTATGTTTACACTGCTCAATTAGCAAAATTCAGATTTTTTTTTTTGGCTTGGATGTTCACATTATATTTTAAATGGGACCTTGATCAGACTCCAGTGGGAACTCTTCACAGAACTGTGTGCTCAGAAAAGGATGTGACTTCTCATTAAGTACGCTGCTTACAGAAGTAAATGTAGATGCTACATGTTAGCATGTCGATTCGGAAGTTCTGTTCTGTAGCGGAAGGCATGTGAAGTTACAAGATTTAAACAGCATGACTTGAGGTTAGTATCAATATTATTACTTAGAATGATCCGCTCACCCCCCCACCGCACTGATGTAAAAGTCAGATGAAATGAGACATGAGCATTCAGACTGTAGTCGCTTTGAAATACATCAGATATGTGTCCAATTTATTACCACACAGTGAAAAGGCCTGGGTCAGATTTGAAAAAAAAAATCAGATTTGTCACACTCAGACTGTCATGAAAACATCTGATATGGGTTGTATTTGCCTGCAGTGAACGTAGCCTAAAAAACTGGTATCCCTTGTAAAATAGACTTGCCGAGTAATCACCTTCTAAATGTTGACCAAACAATAGAGATAAAGGTTGACTTGATAGACAGAATCTCAAGGCATAGGTTAGTTTCTGCTGCCTTTTGGACAAAAACAAAAAGAAAAGCAGTCCACCTGTTTTATGACCTGAATTTACAATCTTCTTCTTTTTATAGGAAAAGATTGTGATCTCCACCGAATATAGAACAATTTCCATCCATTGTTTTGGGGAGATGGGGTGGCTAATGGTCTTGTCACCTTTGTTTAGGAGCTTGACTTTGCCAAACAAACCGAGGCGAGTGCCGCTTTCTGCCCCCTTGTTGCACACACATCTTTGTGATAGCATGGCAGAAGAACTTGTCGAGAAGAATAATGACAGAGGAGGCTGAAGATGTAGAAAACTACAGGTAATTAAGTGTCCACCTGAACAACAGATGGGCCTTATGGACAAACAGAAAGAGTGGATGGGGAGACTATCTACTGAGGACAACCAGACCTATCAGAGTGCAGCAAGAAGCTAAAGATCACAGTCTTACTCTCTTGACAACCAGAAAGCATTTTTACTCCCCAGTTGTTTGGAATGTGATAAGGATACTTTAATATTACAATACTTCTTAAAATAAAAAAAAATCTGTTTTGTGAGAAAATTATTATTTCGACCATTGTACACATACATTATTTTTCTTCCACCAAGCCATGAAACCAGCAGGCTCAAGAGCTCAACCCAGGTATCCATCTCCCCAGAGACCTGCTTCAGCTGTTTCTGGGGGATCCCAAGATGTTTCCAAGCCAAAAATAATCTGTTTTTTTCTTAGAGTCTACCTTCAGTGGGATGAGTACAGAAAGCCCCACAGGAAACCACCCAGGAGATATCTTGATCAGAAGCCAGAACTACCCCAGCTGACATCTTTCGATGTGGAGGAGCAGTGGATCCACTCGGAGCTCCCTCAATGACAGGTCTTCTCAGCTTATCATTAAAGTCTGAGACCACACACACTCATTTCAGCTGCTCATATACAGACTCTTGTCCTGATTCATACACTGTGAACAGACAAGGATTGGAACGTAGATCAGTAACAAACAGACCAGAGCAACGTCGCCATTACTGCGGACAAGGCCCTGATCCACTGATCCAGACTTAGAGACAAGAAAAAACTCAAAAACTGTGAACTTGGGGAAAATATCCAGACTCCCATCTTTTAATCTCAGTGTCTGAAGGGCAGACAGCAGGTCAGTAAAGAGAAATGTTGTCAGGCGAAATGCCATTTAGGCTTTAAGGATAAGCTGTGAGAATATAAAATCAATATGAAATCTGATAGAAAGCCAGAGAGTTGAGGTAAACACAAGTGAAGGATACGCAGCACTTCTCTGGTACATTGTTCAGAGGTGGTGACCCATATGTTTTAGTTCCAGTCTGATTCAATGTTGCATGAGTTTTTGGTATGCTTGAATCAAAACAGGTGTTTCTTCTATTATAGACAAACCTAAATTTGTGGTAGTTCGAAAATATTTGATTAGTTTTTTTTTTGTGCCCACCAAAATGAATGAATAAAGGAGCATGTGGAGTTATCTGGTGTATATTTCTGTTATCTTACCTCCCTCTGGAGTATTAAAGTTGACTGGATCGCTCTTAGGCCCTTTTCCCTTTTTGTTAAAAACGCTGACGATCAGTTTGTACTCCGAGAAAGGTTCAAGCTCCGGCACGATGACATGACTCCAGTTTCCAGGAAAAGACATCGAGTTGGACTTATTTAAAATCTTGCTGGGGTTCAGGAGACTTTTGATCTTCTGCCAGTAAACCTGGGAGATGGTGGCATGGAGGTGGGGGAAAAGACGGAAAGAACAAGAACAGAGAAACAGATTTGGATAATTAGGAAGCTATTTTTCACATTTCTATTTTAAAATACAACAGTGCCACCGACATTCTTCTAATGGCAATGTCCAGACTGATAACAGAAACAACATATATCTATTAAAATATTAATATTAAAAAATGTTTACAGTTTAGCAAAAACGAAATATGTGATATAACATATTGTCTAAAACTCTGATAGTCCTGGAAAACCACCAGGTGTCATAATGGAGCTGCGGAAACAATTAAAACTTACACCCAACTTTGTACTCATAAATGCCTCTAAAACACAAAAAAGAATGCAGATCAGATGGTATGTTGTTTTTTATATATTTAAATGTCCAAATACACAATGGAAAACACATTTGCCACTGTTTTTAATATCAGAATATATTTACTTCTAAGTCATAGCAATCCAACCTAAAAAACTTGTTTTCACTGTGTGAATACAAGAGGAAAGTATGAGTGTGGATATAAAAAAGTTCATATTTAACATAAACACCACTATGGAAACTTTGCTGTAAAAACATGTCAGAATACTTCTTTGCAGCACTTAAAATGGAAGATGTGCTGCTAGCAAAAAATCGGGCCTTCACAAAATACACTAAAACCAAGAGGATTTAGAAATAGAATGGAATAAGTGTAAACTAAATCCTACATTTTCAGACTGTAATAACTCACATTATAACCCCCTAAATGACCTCGCACTGTGGCTGGTGTAACAGGGGTCCAGCTGACTATCACAACAGTGGAGTTGATCACCTCGACTGCTACATTCTGTGGTGCTGCAGTGGGAACTTTAAAAGAAAGAGAAACACAAGTGCATATTAAATAAAACACCAATTAAATTAAATAAACGAATAAATTTAACTAAAGACATTTTTTTTCTTGTTTACAAGCTTCTACCTTAAGTTGTAGTAAAAAACAAACAACAATAAAAAAGGTTAGGATCACACATTAACATACATGGGCTTAAAAAAGGAGAAAAATATCTAGATTTTTCATTTACATATACATACATATATATACACACA